TACTTTTTTGGGTTGGTCTCTTTTTGAAGATCATTGCAGGATTGTGGGGCTTTAATGGCTTGCTTATTTTACAAAGCACTCTGTAACCAACATGCCTGTGCTGTGTGTTTAAACTGAGGGGAGTGGGGAGCCAGAAGCAAGCAGGCATGGATGACCATACTATATTTGTTTGCTTATAATTCTGTAAAGATACGGTGTGAAACTCGAGCCTCAACGGGCATATTTCCAATGGAGCCAGCCATTGGGTTTCACCTCACAGCTCTGCCAGCCTATGCTGTCTTACTATGCGCATACCCAAATCTGTAGAGTTTTCTTCTAAAGTCTTCACTCTTGAAATCTATGGAATAGAAATTAAACTGTTTAGTTTCTTTTCTTTTATTCTGTTTTAGTAACTAATATTTCTAGTTGCAGGGTTGCCAAGAGAAGTTTAAAATCACGACCCTGAGTTATCTCTAAAGCAGAAGGCAAATGATCTCTATGTGTTACTGCTTTCTTCTTTAAAATCTCATTATTTTGGGGGGAAGATAGGTCTCACAGACTTCGTAAACTCTTGGGGTTGGCAATAAATAGTGCAAAATATAAGATGTATAATATCCCCAGCATCTTCCGTTGTGTACTGTAGTTTTGTGATCATGACAGCATCCTCAGCAGATCTTGGTTATGTACCTCCATGTACATAACGCTTCTACTAATTGTAATAGTGGTTTTTTTGCAATAACTCAATTTTACCTTTTATCGTTGCATGCTTCCTATAAATTTACAAAGTTTTTTGTTGCAGACTGCACTAAACTAGATGAAATGAAAAGGGATGGAGGTCCAAACCATAACAGTGTACTGTGGGTGTAGTTTCTAAAAGGATGTTGTCTGATGTGTGTATGGGAACTGTTGGACCACAGCCTGAACCTCTGATTGACCACCTGAGGCAAGCGCTGAGTCAGCTGTGGGAGCACAGGTGAAGGCAGTGCAGCTGTGCTACCGAAAGGGGTGGAGCCTGGCTGCATCTCTCCTAGACCCCATTTGAGGGCTGACCCCCACTGCAGAAAGGTCTTTTTCTGGAGATTGCTCCTTGTGGAGTTTACTGTGAGCCTACAACACTGGTGAGCATTTTCATTTATTTTGATTATCTTTCCACCGTGATAATCTTACTAAGCCTAACCTCTGTGTATCTGTTCACTGTGCACCTACTGATTGTGCAAACATGCCATAAACAGAAGTGAAACAGAGAGCTTCTTCCCCAGGCAGACCAATCTCAGGCTACAATAAATGCTCTGGGAAAATGAAAGGCTAGAAATGGTCTAAGGACTGATCAGTAGTTTTTCCTGTAGTGCTCTATGTGCTCGTAAGTATCTGCAGGCTGCTGCTAAAGCACCATCAGTTTGCAGCTAAGGATGTGTTCATGTGAGTATTTTCTGCAGTTTGAAACTCTGCTTTTAGGGCTGGTCTCTGCTGCCCTCCTTCCCAGCGCTGTGGTTCAGCCCGGAGAGCAGACACAGAAGCACAGTATTGCAGAACCACAGAATCGTAGGGGCTGGGAAGGACCTTTGGGATTCATCAAGTCCAACTCCCCTGCTAAAGCGTGTTCCATGGGTTGCTCCACCACCCTAGCTCAGTTCTAGAATTTTTTCATGCACAAGTGGGACTTTGTGTTACCTGCATAATCTGATGCTTAAAATCTGCATTGCTGGCTGCCTGCCCTTCCCAGGTGTGCTTGTGGACACGTAGAAGCTCAGCCAGCCCTGTGGTGGAGTTTTTTTGCAGGCACACAGCTGGGTATTGGCTTCTTTTTGGGTGTGCACTGTGAATTTGAGGATTTATGTAAGCACTGCATGGATCCTTGTGTTGAACAAGGGTGATTTAAGGAGCAGAGCTCCTTCCTGAGAATGGCTCTCATACACAAGGTTTAAGTTCAGTTATTAATTTTAAGGAATTAGACCCTGAAAATTGTCAGTATGGCACATTTTTAATTGGATTTTAAAGCCCATAATTAATATGCTAAAAAAGGGGAGATCCTCGTCCTGTAGAAGTGAGTGGGAGTTTTGCCATTGCTTTCAGCAGAGAATTTTGCCATCTATCCTTTTATTCTTGTAACTCCTCCACAACAGCAGGAGAGCACTGGCACGTGGAAATGAGAGTTCCCATTTCTCCTGCCTGCCATTTCAGTAGTGAGGTAGGAGGGGCCTCTCCCCCTCTCATGCCCACGCTTCCTACAGACATACACCTTGGCAAGATAGCTCTCATTTCATCTGTGAGTAAGATGAAAGCAGCCATTAAAGATGCAGTTTGTTCTTTGTCCTCCCATGCAGAGATACAGAGATCTCTCTCTCCATGCCCTCTTGGACTATGGAGTGGCTGAAGGAGAGCAGGATGCTGCCCTCCCTGAGGTCTCTGCATCAGGGAGTCTATAGGGCTTTAAAGGTCACCGTGCTCCTTTGCCTTCACTGTGTGCCACGCAGAGCTCTGCACACCAGTGCGCTCTGCTGTCTGGGAGCACAAGGAGGTGTGCTGACATTTTGTGTGGCTTCAGTTACAGAGGAAAAGCATCTGAGAACAGAACTCAGCTCAGGGCAGTGTAAGCTGCAAATTGAGATCACTTGAGAGAGGAGCCCCCGGAGCAAGCAGCAGAGATACGTGGCATCCTGTGGGTTTATCAGTAATCATGCTTGGCATTTCTGTCTCTCTTAACCTATATATAGCACTGTATGTTTTCGAAGCTTTTGACAAATGTTAACAATCCAAACCCAGCTTCAGTCCTAACAGCCCTTGTTTCACAGAACCACGCGATGTTTTGCCTTCACCCTTCTGCTCTCACACTGGCCGTACCTGCCAGATTTGGCTGAGCACTCATCTTTCACCTTTATGGCACATGTAGCAAATGTGGTATGAGGTGCTTTGTCTGCCTTGCTGTCTGCTCTCTAAGGTAGGCACTAGAGAGCATCAGAGAACCAAGCAAGCTAAATTATCACCGAGGTTCATTTACTGACAGCTTTTTAAAATAATGCACGCAAACTGTTCACGTAGAATTGCTGCACCATCTCAGATGTGATTAGAGCAGGGGAAATCCTTCTTCTCTGACAAGGGGGGATGAAATACAATGTGCTTAGTAGGGTGTCACGGGCTGTGGAGACAGTGCCAAACAACTGCAGCCCTGGTGTCTGGGGCAGTGCTGGTGACAGTGTTTGAATTGCAATTGAGGAAGCAGCACGGAAGCAGGACACCAGCACTTGGCTTGCTAACAAGAAGTTTTTTGCCTTTTTTTTTCTCTGGGGGAAAAAAAAAAACAACAATTAAAGAAAAAAATCTCACTAAAAACTGTACGAGTCTGCAGAGCTGACCAGTCAGGCACAGTGTAAGTGTGAGATGGAGTTATTATTGTCTTGTTTTGTGTGTCCCTATGGTGGGTTGTGGCACACCATAGAGACATCCAGGCTGGCCTTTCTTGTTTCAGGGACTGAGGGGACAATTTGGTGTTCTGATGAAGTCTCGCTGGCTGCTGCTCCCTCTTCATTGCTTTACCCAGTGAATCCTTTAATTGAGTTACTGTGCTTAATGTCCGGTAAAGTGGCTCAGCTCCAGTTAACACCTCAGCCCACTCTGCTGTCTGGGGTGGGTGACCATTGTGAAACAGAGCTGCCTTAGCAATAAGAAGCTTGCAGACTCACTCACAGCAGAGCATATTTTTATTAAGTATTTTGATACAATTCTCTTGCCCTCTTTGCTTTTCTTTTTCATTTGGCTTTTCCACTTTGTCACCTTGAAATACATAGGTCTACCATAATGAGATCTCACTTCTTTACCTGCTGAATAGACACGCTAAATATAGAAATCTGAGTCTCTGCACTGAGACATTTGCCTGCTGTGGCCAAGAAGAGAGGTCATACAGATTGCAACTTCAGTTTGGCCAGTGGTGTGGGTTTTTTTTTGTTTTTTTTTGTTTTTTTTTTTTTTAAGATTGCCTTCTTAGCAATTTTAAGGATAAATAAGTAATAATCCCTTCTCTGCTTATAGTTGCTGGCTTAGGATCTTGGTAGTGCAAGGGATTTCTTGTCAACATTTTATTTCAACTCCCTTCTCTCCTAATGCATTTGCACTGTGCTGACTGTGTGGGGATCAGTGACACTGAATTCCTACAGAAAGAGAAACAATGGAGCATTTCCTTGTGGGGGTGATGATAAATTTGAATGCACATGAATACATGTGCACTGAATGAGAAAAGGGGGGGCACCAGCCCTGGGAAGCCTCCATGAAGAGGTCTGAAGGACTCCACTGGTGCTGCACCACGGCAGCCTGATTCACAGAGGCTGCTCTTTGTTAGAAGATGGCTAAATGTGAACATAGCAGACCAGTCTCACTTCTGACTTACTGCTGCAGCGATATGATTGATATCTGGGGGCAGAAAAACAGCCCCCAAAATTGTTGGGAGCAACTGGAGAAGGTGCAGCTTTAGGAGACTGTGGGCATGGAAACTTGGGGAAGCAGATGTGAGTTTGGCCACGCAAGGGGTGAGCTGCAGCCTGGGAAAAGCGTGTGGTGCAGTGGTGGTGGTTGCTGTTGGAGGGTGTGCAGGGAGAGATGTGACTTGCTCCCACCTGTGGTGTGGTTAGGTATGGGTACAGCCATCACAAGTACCAGAGCAATTAGCCAGCAAGAGCTGAGCAAGCTGCAGGGTTGACTGAAAATGAGGCTGTAACAGCACAGGGCTGAGGATTCTGGGGACGTGCTGAGGGTTTCACTCAAGAGCAGTTAACAAGCTTTGTTAGAAATGGGAAATGAGGTGTAGGGAGAATTTTAACAGATCAACAGGAGCTGAAGCTGGATCCATCCACAGTACAGTGTGTCATATGTCCTAAGTTGTTTGAATTGCACTGTGGCCTTGATCGTGTGACTGAGTGTGCACTAACCTGCCTGGGTGGGGAAGGGGTGAGGTGGAAGACACGGGACTTGCAAGTGGAGTGCTCAGTAATGCTGCTGCTGCGCTGACTCTTCTCTCCTCCCCTCTGCAGGTGAGAAGCCTTACAAGTGCTCGTGGGAAGGGTGCGAGTGGCGTTTTGCACGGAGCGACGAGCTCACGAGGCATTACAGAAAGCACACGGGTGCAAAGCCCTTTAAATGCAACCATTGTGACAGGTAATGCAGCCTCCTGATGTGGTGTTTAAGCAAAATGTGGTCCTCGTGAATGGTTGGTGCGGAGCTGTCAGACCCTTGGCAGCCTGGAGTGGTGGGGCAGCCCGGCCTCTCCATGTCTTGTGTCCCCCTTCCTTAATCCCTCAGCCAAAGGAGGGCACAAAGAAAGGGCTGGATGCAAGTCTCACTGGAACCTGCCCACGTTTGTTGTGGGCACAGGACTCAATCCATAGGGCAGCTTATTTAAATACTCCATAATCACAGTGGAAGTTCAGAAGGCCCTGGACCTGCTGTTGTCAGAGTAGGTCCACAGAGTATCTCCACAGCTTTCCATCTTGTTATGCCAGTGTCCCTTGAAAAGCAGAGCTCCTTCCCCACCTGCCTCCTTCAAGGGCTACCCCAAGCACCTCTGCTGGCTTCCTGTATGTTGGCAGGGTACTTCATTTTCAAAAGCACTAAAAAAAGACTAATTCAGGCACATCTGACAATTCAAGTTCATGAGATTGTTTTGTGTTGGATCAGTGATTGCTGCATATTCCTGCTAATGAGTGAATCTTTTCTCCAGTTCTAATTTTCAACCTTGATGTCTGTTTGATGTGCGAAATATTCTGCCACCTTGTTCTGAGTGGGCGCAGATTTAAAAGCATGGTAGGTGCCTAGAGCCAGGCTTCTCGAAGAGCTTAATATGTAACAGTCCTCCTCTGGGCACTCGGAACTGAGGGACCAGGTTTGCATGGAGAGCTGGGCACCCAGCAATTCCTACTGAGGGCAGTGGAAGCTGCTGCTTGCAGCCCACTTTTTGCTGTCCTCGCCACTTCAGCTGCTGAATGAAAAAGCTCCTCTGAAAAATTGAATTGTCCTTGCTTGGTGCTGAGTGCTTTTGAAAGCTGGGTTCTTTGAATGCAGAAACAAAACCAAAAGAAAATCCTCCTCTCTATCCCCAGTCCCAGATGATAAGAAATTAGGGTGGAGCAAAAGCAATTACCACTGTAATGACTCTTGACAGCACTGTCAGGATCGAACAATGAGCACTTCTCCTCAAACCCCCAGCTGGAGGCTGGCAGTGCCCTGGGTAAAACCTGGATGCAGTGTAGAGCAATCAAATAATGTGCTTGCATCTGAACACGTTATCTGGTAATCCTATTTGTACATATATTTTAAAAGAGACTTAAGAAAATTACCTGTCTTTTTAATGCAGCATTAAGGTTCTCTACTCTGATAAGAAAACATTCTGTAATACAATAAAGGCTCTAGGAAGCCTCTGGGTACACCGGACCAGCAGAGTACATGCATGGAGGGAGGATGTATGGGACATAAACAAGGGACCCCATCCTTTTATGGGAAGGAAATTTGATCATTTTCACATCCTGCCTTTCCAAGTGCTTCATCTCCTTGAGCGCTCTTCTCCCCTCGTCTCCCTTCTTCCTGCCCCCCTTCTGCCACGGACAGCCTTTCTCTCGGATTGTTTTTTGCCTTAGCCCTGGATTATTCTTTGTTTTCTGAGAATGAGGGACAGGATAAACTAAGTAGGGACTTCTGGAGTCGTGCTTTTGTATAAGCACCTCTGTGAAGGAGGACATTTGTGTTCTGTTTTTAGTGTAAGGCATTTCCTTTCTCTTTTTTCTCTGAGGAACAGAGTAACCACCCCAGCCCCAAAAGCGCACTAACACAAGCAGTGCAAAACTGCAGGGTTTCTGTTAGAATCTTTAGCAGGGATTTAAAGAAATAGTCAGTATTTTCAACTCCTCAGTCTCCGTCAGTCCACCTTTCAGCATTCATTCTCCTCCCTTTTCATATTTCCCCTTACTATCTGGGTTTTTGTGGTTGGCAGCCAATTCAGTTGCTACAGTGAAGAGATGCATTTCTGCAACTGTCTAATACATCATCTTTTCCACTTCCAATAGATCTGCAGATAAAAGAAAACAAGATTAATTAGGAAGTTAAGACTGCAAGTCTGTGCACTAAACTCCATGCACATGCTTTTTATTTGTGGCAGGAGTCAGGTTCAGCTTTATTTTCCCGGTTGCAAGCTCACTGACTGGCGCTGCCTGTTCTTTTGGACCACTCTGCCATACCACTATTTTTCCTTCTTTTCCCATTCATTGATCTCTCTAGTACTGTCTATTGCAGATGTCACTTCAAGTGAGCACAAGTCTGTCCCTAGCCATTTAGACAGATGTCTAATGTTGAAGAAGCTTCCTCCTGAGCCAGAGATCCCAGATGGAGAACAGTTTCTTCATATCTGAACTGCTGCTCTCTTCTGCATCCACCTTTATTGACACAAGATGTGATCACTCCCACAAACATCTTGGCTTGATAAATCTTAAGGAGCTTTTTGGAGCTACTTTTTGCAATACTGACATCACAGAATTGTTTGGAAGAGAAGGCTGTACCTGGGCAATTGGAGCATAAAAGCGGTGATTGAAATAGTAAAGGGGAGAACTGTACAATTTTGCTTGCAGTTCCCTTCCCGTCTATTTTCAGAAGCAGTTGTATCTATTACCTCCTGGCCACCAATGTGGGAATATTCATATAATCTCTGTACAAGACAATTCTAAAGCGAAAGAGATTAGATGATGTGATGTTGTTCTGCTGCTGTCCCAGCCCAAGCACTGCATACCCCGCAGATCTCATTGTTAGTTACAGCTGCCAGGCCACCATTGGTTTAAGTATCACCATATGTGCTGCAAATGATATGTGGTTTGGTGGCAGCAGGGGGAAAGGAGAATCAGCTGAGGTGGTGCAGAAGGCAGTGTGCAAGTCCCTCGTGCCTTCCAGACACAAGGGGTATGCTGTTTATCATCATCCTCCAGGAGCTATGCTCTTCAGAAACACAGGCAGGTTATGTTCCTCGCACAGAACGAGGCTTTGGCACTCCAAGGGAAAGAGGATGACGGGAGTGGCACTTGCTTGTTACGCCTGTGTCCTCTTGGACAGCAAGTTAAGAGTGCGCTTAGCTGGAATGCACAAATCCCACAGCAGGGAATCCACAGCTGGTAAGAAAGATGGCTGAACAGTACATTCTCTTCTCGTCATTGCTACCTTCCCTCTTTCTCCTGCAGAGACTTGAGTGCTGAGCAGTACTGTGTTGCTAGGGAGATGGAGCAAAAAGAGAAAGGAGCCAATTGTGTTTCAGAGCGGGAAAGTTTTGCATTATGCATCACTGCATGACTTTCAAAATTAGGGTATCTTAACCTAGCATAAACTGTCCTTCCCAGGAAGAGCTGCATTGTGGGGATGATGGGCCCATGCACAGCACACAGTGCTGGTCTAGAACTGGAAGAGGTGCAGAGCCCAAGTTGTGCAGCAAGGTCTTGTCTTGCAGACAGGATGAGGGACTAACAAGCTGCTGCTGCTTTCTATGTGGGAGAAGGAATTTATCTTGTCAGTTTGTCCTGTGGAGCTTTCTTCGCTGCTGGCTCTTGTTCCAGCAGAGAGAAAATGTGCCTACTGATCAGTAGTGGGTTTTTTTTTTTCCCTCTGACATACTTTAGCTGCAACATTTGATAGAGACTGCTTTACTGTTGAAAATCAAAATCTACCAGCCTTACCAATAAATAGAGCTAGCCAAATTAGTCAGCAGGAGAATGTGAAGAATTCATGTTGTACCATTTTATTAGCAGGAATTAGCAAAAAATTATGCCATTTTAGTATCTGTAAAAACATTATAGAGCTGAAAAATACCCTGGATACTAATACTATGGTAATTGAAGTGAAGCAGTGGCTTAAATTCATATTTTTAACAGATTTTACTGTGTTGTGACTCTGCACTCTTTTTCCTGGGACGCATCTCTAATACAATTGGAGAGGAAAAGCCATTCTTGGGTAGTGGTCTTATGACTAGTCCTAGGCTAAAGTGCCAGCTGGTGCATGTCTTTTTGGCAGTCACTCGAGCTGTTGTTTTGTTTTGGCAGCCCTTGCAGCTAGAGCATGCTGCTTTCTCTGTTTAGACTGATGAGAGAAATGTTGGTCCATGGGTGTATTTTGGCACCCTGAGGCTAGAAAATTCTAGCTGTGCTGAGCCTGCTGTGCTGAGAGCCAAGTGCCTGTTGTCAGACCCTCATTTGTGTCTCTCCACTTCATGCAGGAGCTTGGAGGAATACAGCCACTATCCCATTCTGAAATCTTTATTTTTTGCCATTCTGTTACAGAAAGGTACTAACCTTGTTGTAAGCTGATAGAAATCAGTAGAGAACAGCTGGTTTGAGCAGAGTTGTTCTTGTCCTCAGATGATGAGAATCAAGCTTTTCTTATGAAAGTGCCTCCTTACAAGCTTTCTTTGTCTTAAGAGTTTACCTTTTGGTGACTCATCTTTGTATAGATGGAGAGAGACTGCTTGTGCAGCACAGTGCCAGCAAGACAGAAGAGATTCCCTAACTATTTAAAACCTCTTCATTTTCATTAGTTCTTCAATTTCTTAGCCTTTTTTCTGGTTAGGATTTCTACTGTCTGGGTGTTTGCCTTTAGATTGAGGTCACTTTTGTTTTATTTTCTTTGATTGTATAGTTGAATTTATTCTTTTACATTCTTTCTGAAAAATAAAGAATACTCAGCTACTGCCTTTTGAAAAGTAGACTTACTGCCCACTTGTAAGCTATGGAGATTCTCACAGTAAGCCATTAGTATATTCTCCTAACTGGTATTTTACACTTCTATATTCTAAAATATAGTGACAGTGAAAAGACATTGCAGGCAAATCAGTTCTGGAGGTTGCTTATCATTATGTCCTCAGAGCCTACAAAAACAATTTATTCAAAAGCCACAGATACGCGTCTTTGTGTGTGATATTCATAATGAATGCTTCTTGCTCTTACTAAAAATAAATGTGCCAGTGTCTTACGGCTTAGGGTGGAAAGAAAGCAAGCCAAGATTTGCAGGGAACTTGGAAACCTCGCATTTCTACTACACGCTTCAAGTTGAACGCTCAGAAATTTGATTTATTAGGATGTCTCTGTACTGCCTGACAGTTGAGCTCCTTCTCAAGGCTTTAGGGTAGGCAGCCAGAACCACTGTCTGCTTGTCCAGCAGTTTGTTCCCTGTTGCTGTACATACCTTTATTGTGATAGTATGAACTGGGTTGGTGCATTTGACCTCATTTCTAATGGACGTGGAGTTGGAAAAATATTCTTGCTTACTGTCAGCCTTAATAAAATGGAATTTGTATTGACTGACAGAGAAGAAAAGCGCCTGTCCACCTGAGAGCCCCTAGTCAATGAGAATATGTTAGTGGTGTGAAGTCTCAGATTTTGGGCTGCAGTTCCTGCTGCTGTGAGTTCCCTGCAGCATGTCTTCTACAAGGCAGTTGCTTTAGAATGGTAATTCCTGATTAACTCTTTTTGGGGTTGCTCTTCTCTGGGAGAGTGTTTGATTCTGAGTATGTTAACTCACTTTCCCAAGTGGATTAAGTAATTTCAGAAGAAGGCAGTCATAAGCCTTTAGAGAGGGAGTTAATCAAGAATAGATGCTTCATTTCAAATTCATGCCCTACCTTATCCTTAATTATCTGCATGTTTAGACCAGCCCTAAAAGGCAACTAGTTCTCTAGGGTTGCAGTTCTAAGACAATCTCATCAGAATCCTTTTACATGTTCAGAAAGTTATTTTTAATGAGGAGATGGAGGAACGATGGCTTTGTGGATGAAGAACAGAAACTGAAAGTGGAAGTCCTGGCTGTTTAATTCTTGTGTTATTTACAATTTCCTTGCCTTTCTGTGTCTCAATTTTCACGTTTACAGGGTGGGTTTAATAATAACTTATCTTAACATAATTCAGGGGGATAGCATTCATCAGCATCCACATACTACCACTGAGATTCCCTAGGGAGAAAAGGAAAGATACATAGCCTGGATGATTTCCAGCCCATGAGCTTTGAACCATTTTCTTTCCAATTTGGAGTTAAAAATGGGAATTTAGTTTTTGAAACTTATGTTGGTGTGTGTTAAAGGTAGTGGCTTTTTAAAACTGGCTTTGCTAAGTAAAGCTGATTTGTTTTATTTTTCACCATATGCACACGCACAGACACTAAATATTTGATTTTGTCCTACAGGTGCATGTATGAGCACACTTGTCTGGTATTTCACACAGTGAAAGAGGAGGAGGGAAAGAAACAGTGAAAAGGGGAGAATAGTCTATTTAGCTTTCAGCAGCGCAGTTGGCCATCTGTGGTCGTGGTGAATCACACAGAGTTTGGTGGTGATAATCTGAAGAACAGTTCTAAACCAGGATAAATATTTCCTCTTGTATATAAAGAGGGAGGAGCAGGAGCCGGGTTTTTTTGTTTGTTTTTTCTTTTCCCCAAATCTTGATTTCATGTGACATTTGGTTTATTTTGCAGGTGTTTTTCCAGGTCTGATCACCTTGCCCTCCACATGAAGAGGCACATCTAAGTATCTGTCAGCTTGGCATGGATGACATCTGAGCTAAGTGTTGTGAGATGAAGTGGAACTCAAGTTATAATGTGCTGCCTTGCAAGAGAAGAGAACTCTATCACATGTAACCCTCTGTACAGAGACCACACACTCACACTGTCATACACCCAGTTATACTTCAATACATCCGTTGGTTCTTTATGCCTTGCCCCAGCTGGATGGGAGAAGATGCAGGCGAGGAAATGCTGTAGAGGTGAAGTCAATGAGAAGGAACAATTGCTTACAGTACTTCGTCTCTCTTGGATTTGTTTCCTGGTTTTGCCAATGGAAAACAAAGGAAATGGAGGAGGCTTCCCTGCAGGTGGACGGCAGTAGGAGGGGCTTATTTAACTTGCTTCTCAGTGCAACTCAGTAGGAGAAAATGTCGTCTTGAAGTTGCATATTTGTAGCACTAACTTTCTTTTTAAATAGATGGGGGGAAAACAATGACCTAGAAAACCAAATCCCAGTTTGGTAGCCAAATTAACCTCGTGGTTCATTTGTTCTTTGTCTGAGGATTCCTAATGTTTAATGCATCAGACTTTTCACAGACACTTTGACCTGTCTTGGTTTTTGTTCTTCTTCCTAGAACTGAGCTATTGAGATTCATTTAAGTCAATACCAGTAGCCTTAATGGCAGTAGACTGTGGAGTGACACTTGTTACACAAATATCCTCTCTTTGGCCTGAGTTTATGTAGACTTCACGGAGGACTATATTTTGGTTTTGTTCTTGTTTTTGTTTTAATTTTTGTTTTGGCTATTGCACAACATATGCACTAGGGACTCTGGAAGCTGCTGCCATGATGGCTAAGTGGCCAAGGGATAAACTTTGAGAAACAGTATCTAATATCTCTGTAGGCCTCACCTTATTGCCATAGCTAGAACTTCTTGTTTATTTGTTGAATGAAAACTTTAAAAGCTTATTTGGAAGCTTAAACCTTTTTTTTCCCTCTTTTCTCTACGAACAAGTGATCTTCAGAACTCCTTGTCTGCACCTGGATATCGGTCTGGGACTGGCCACACAGGCATGACTACGGGATTCCTTCCACATCATGTGAGCATGTTAGCCACAACTCACAGTGACTTAGTGATGAATTATGTTGCTTTGTCTCGCAGTTCTTCTAATAACCAATTTAAAACATTAGACTTTTGTTTGCGTAAAGAGCACCTGCAGACATTTTAATTTAAACTTGATGTTTTTCGAACATCTTACACACTCACATACAAACAAGCCAAAAATCCTGCTCCAGTCTCTGAGTGGGAAATAAAGAACTTCTTCCAAGTACAATGGCTTCATTCAGCATTAGCCTTTTAAAGAAATTATGAAAGTCCTCCTTTTCCATTCATCAAGTTGATGCTGTAGCCTGCTCCTATGTGTAACAGTGTAAACAGTGAAGGAAGGGTTGGGTTTTACGTACAGCAATGAGACTTTTCTGAATGATTGATCTAAAGTGCTGATAACCTTGAGGCCCATTTTGGCCTACTGTGTGAACCATCAAGGGAAAGTGAAGGTCTCATGCTCGCCCTTCAGTTCTATTGGTAATTTGATTTTGTTGGGCACAAAGAGGATTAAAGTCTTTGTTACAAAACAAACAAAAAAGCATCTTACGGTAACTCATGTTTGAAACTATTTGGCGCTGGCCCTGACTCCAAAGACTGCATTTAGGACCATAAAGATGGCTTGTGCAAGCAGGCGTGTGGTCATTAGATTGTATACTTTGTATGTTCTGGGACCATCTCTAAAGGATGACTAAAAATTAAACAAAATGGTGCATGGTCCACAAATGGTTGCTGCTCTTTTATACTGTATTAGCCAGCTGCCCTTCTTTGACTGTTTTGACACATTGACTGTTAAATATTTCCCTTAATTCATGTTTTAGGAGTTGAAACTGTGCTCTTGGGGAAAAAGAACAAACAAGAAACTCAATAGATGTTTAAGAGCTGTCATCGGGATCCTTGGCACTTGAATTCTCAGAATTTTGCAACCTTTGGTTCCAGTGAGAGATTGAATTTACTCAAAAGATGCTGGTTTTCCTCACAGTTCTTGCAAAGCACTGTGACTGTCAACTGAATGCTTTTGGGACAGGAGGGAAATACAATGTCTGGCCCGTATGGCATGAAATATGGACCAAAATCTAACCATCTTTTAGGGGCAATGATGTAACATTCATGATAAGAGAGGGAGAGAGAGAGAGCAAAAGTGAGTGAGAGGAAAAGAAAGGTAGAAGAAGAGAAAGAAAGAAAATTGAGTTTATTCCAAAGATTTAAAACTAACCATGCTATGTATACGTATGTGGAGCACTGCTTGCTGACAATCTTGTATTTCTCTGCTTCTGTGTTTGCATACTTTTTATGACCATTCCATCCAGCTGTTCTACTGGGACTGAGGGCCCTAGCATTCAATTTGTATTGGAATATATGGAGCATCCTGCCAGATGTCTAATGGAAACTGAAACCGCAGCTGTGTGAAACCGTAGAACATCCAGTCAGTGCATTACATTAGAAAAAGGTTAACAGAATCCTAGAATTTCATTACTGTAGCATCCTAAAGTATATGCTCTCAAACTCACTGCTATGGTACTCTTTGGCTGTGAACCTGCATAAATATCTTTCCTTGACCTCTGAACACACCTGCCTTTAGACATGCTAACAGTAGCCTACAAATCATAGTTATTAAGTGTCAGTTTAAGTACCAGTTATTCCAGTTTTCATTTGTGGTCTTGTTGATGTCTCATTTAAATATGGCAGAACAAGGGCCCCATGGGAAACAAACAAACATGCTGAAATGTATGATTATTTTGTTCTGAAGACATGCTTACAATTTAAATCCTGGGTCTATCTAGCTATAAAAACATAGAAGAAAAGAGGATAACAGACTTAACCAGATTTTAGACTTAACAGGCTCTTTCTGCTGCAGGTCTTGAACTCTGAAGCCAAATTTGGGGCTTTGAGACCATCTTTTCTGTTTCTTAAGGGAGGTGTTTTTCACAAGTGTGTTGTGTATTCTGTCTGTCTCTGCACTTCAGTTCTTGGGTTCTCTTTTGCAAGTGTCTTAATCATTACTGAAATTTCAAACCTTAACTTGTATTTTGTAGGAGTCTCCATTTTGGAAAGGCACATTCCAGGAGTCATTTTTTACAATGACAGCTTTTCTTTCCTTGCAGATATTTCAAGCTGTACACTTCAAACCTGAGTAATGCATTATAGCTAGATCCTTTTTGGACTGTATCCCCTTGCTAAAGTTGTACAGATGTTCTCTATTTAGAAATTGTGAGTAGAAATAGGCTAATAAGGAAAGGAAAATCCATTCTATAGGTCTTCTTTGGAAGCAAAACCATAAATAGATGATTTGGTAATGGCAGAACGGCAGCCAGGTCTTTCTGGCTTTTCTGAAGAAATTCAAATGTGATTTCCAAGGCCGTGGAGCTGTAGAATGAGAACAAATTGAGACAAATATCACGGAAAATAGTATGCATGGAAGAAATGTCCCTTTTTGTGATAGTAAATAGCATTTTGGAGCAGAGCATAGAATCAATCATAGGAGAATGCAGGTGGGAGGGGAGCTCCAGAGGCCATCTCGGCCAACCTTTACCTAGAGCTGGGTGCTCAGGGCTGTGTCCAGTCAATTTTTCAATGCTACCAAGGATGGAAATTTTGCAGCTACTCTGTATAGGCCGGTCTGGTTTTTGACCACTTAAATGTTTAAAAACAAACAAAAACGATTGAAAGATAAATCTGTATGTCAAGTAGGAATTTCCCATGTTCCGACTTGTTTGCTGTCTCTTCTACTGTGCACTGATATGAAGAGTCTGGCTTCGTTTTCTCCACCATCTCTGTAGGGTGTTTGTAAACAGCAATAAGATCTACCCTTTTCCTAAGATTTAACTCTGTCCACAGCCTCTGTTCGACTGTCATGCGCTCTGGCTCCTGATCTCCTGGGTGGAGCTCTGCTAGACTTGCTTCAGTATCTCATTAATTTTCTTGTAAGGGGAGACCAAAGCTGGACAGAATATTCTGGATGAAGATGTGCTTTATATGTAACAGTGTTGAAAAATCATTTTGAAAGTACCAGTATCAAGATTTTTCTAATCAGATTTACTAAATTTATTAATTATGTTTATGGAAATACATTTTTTATACTGCCAGATTGAGGCCTGGCAAGCAAAAATCTGTCTTTTCTAACACAATCATCACTTTTTTTTATCTTAAACTGGAAAAATGTTATCACTAGTATCAAACACGGAGACATATATTTTAGTCACTTTTTAGAACAAAGCAACACTTCAGTGCATCTTTGCGCTGCTGTTTTTTCCCCCTTAGGAGAAAAGCAACCTAAAACATCATGGGTATTTTATAAAGAGTAGTTTAACAGGTTTAGAGAGTCAGTTATTTTTCATTGTCTCAGAATTTCTCTCTTTCAAGAGCCAGCATTCAGTCTAGAAAATTAGTTCACCTGGATAGACTAGGCAAAGGAACAAAAGAAATCCTATTTCCAGGACTGAAATCCTGCATTTATTCAGTGTCTTGGACAAAGCCCTGAGCGTTCTGATTTAAGTGAACTGTTTTTTAAGTTGAGGGTAAGATTAACTAACCTCCAGAGGTACCTTCCAACATTAATATTTTTTTTGTTTCTGTGATTCATATCAGAGCCCTCTGTAATTAAATGTGTACTGGTTATAGCTCTTCTTAGTCTTGCTCCGGCAGAGCAAACTGTAGAATGGGCCTGTAGGATTTTTCTCAAACTCTGATAGTTTAATCCTTATTACCTTTGTTTCTTCATGAGGAAGATGGAAAAAAAATCTTGAAGCAGCAAAAAACAACTTAGCAAAGCAGTTTGAAGGAATATCTTATCGTGAGATGTGTCACAGCTGCAGGGACCAACCAAAGATTGTGGAAACAGATTTACTAGCCTGGAAGACCCATGTTATGTCTCCAAAATGATTCCCAGTACCTGAAATCTCTGCCAACTTTTATTTCTATAGAAGTGAATAATAAAACCTTTTCTTCCTTTTCCATTGTTACTTGCCTCAGATATTTTGGATTTGGGTTTGCTGTATTATTAAAATACCACATTTTCACTTAATACCCAGAAAACATTGACCAAACATGATCAGACAGAAGAACCTAAATGCGAGAAAAGCCTCCAGTCCCTTGATTTTTGGAACTGTTTTACCTTCAGGTCTGAAAAAGGATAATCACAAAGGTTGTGGCTAAAATGGAGTTGGGTAATTGCAGTGATTGAGTGTATTTTATCTATGACCTTTTTGATATTTACAGAATCAGGCTTTCTTCTTCATTTTATCTGACTTGAGACACTTTGGGCTTTTTTAGCCGTCTCTAACACAAAGGTTCCTCCTATTTAACAAACTTCATTTGTCTGTGTACAGAAGAGGTCATAATTGGTGCTTTTGGCAAAACTGATGAAAGTCCAACTGTCTTAAGGGTTTCCTTTTGTCTCTCTTTTCCTTAAGGTATCAAAATCTTTAAATTTAGAAAAAAAAAAAAAAAGAGGATCATTTTTACGTAATTTAATGTTACCTGGTTAGCATCCAGTTAATCAAGGGCTTTTATTCTTGGTTTTATTCAGGACATAGCACATCTAGACATTCCATCTAGCAAGACTGTTTTTTAGCTTTTGTATTTCTAGGTGACGCCTTTAACCCAACACTTTTTGAAGTACTTTTTGCTGATTTCAGATAGAGTTGCACTTGCAAAGGTCATCGCATATCAAGAACAATAACAGTGCTTGACTAACTCTGTGGTTTTGGCTTGAAAAGTAAAAATTATTTCCTCCCAAGATTTTACAGATGCTCATAGACAAATCTTGCCTGTCTTTCATGCACATAAAGTCTACACCTTATTGAATGATTATTTCCAGATCACGCCTGGATACTTTTCTTCCTTGTGGCACGTTTGCATCTGTTTTTGTTGATAGTTTAGAGTCAGTTACTGCAGTCTTCCTCCTCCACAGATCTACACTGGCTTCAACAGCAAGATTTAGCATCACAAGAACCGAAGGGCCTGTCCTACTGGGTTTTAAGATCTGTCTCATAAAGCTGAGACTTTCCTCCTCCCTTAGAGGAAGAGGTCCAAGACATACTTGTACTATATAAGTTATATATATAATGATGTAGTTGTATATATAAGTTATATATATAAAAATGTGGAGATGGTGGGGTAGGCTGCCTTTATCACCTCAAAGATGAGTTTCCCTACCAGAAAGCTTTCAAATGCAGGTGTCATTTTCAAACAGGGTTTTGTAGTTTTCCTTATGCTTGTTAATGGTATTTTTGGTGTGATAATTGAAGTGGAAACTCTTCACAATTTTCCAAATGAAAGCTTTGATGATTTTTTTTAAGTGCTTTGGTCCTGACTTCTATATACTGCCAGAAAACAGGTTCTCTATCTCTGTGTGTGGCAGTACAACAGTCTACTGTATACACCTACACAGAAGAGGAAACTGAGCTACTGATTTACAGTGTGTAGTAGCCAACCGTGCCTATTGCTTTGATTTAGGGAGGGCACCTACTATTGTCACTGCATTTTAGGAATCATTTCAGCTTTTGTAGGAAAGTTTTCAACGATTCGGGGAAATACATGTTGCTGTGTACTGTGAATGATAGGCTGCAAACTGGGGATTGGGAGGGGAGGTAGGAAGGGAGGGAGATGTGGGCTTAGCATGTACACACTGAAAATGAACTAGAATGGACAGAAAGGTGACAATTTTAGCCTTTATTACTGGGCTTCTTCGGGAAATAAAAAAAGCTAATTTGCAGTCCCTGAAAGGCCTGTTGGCTGAAGGGTTGATCTTTATGTTTTGGAACATGCATTTTCCTATCTCACTGTATTTTAAAAACCAGGCCTGTCAGAATCTGGAAGTAGATCAAAACACTGGTTTGCACACTGCTTTGTTACCAAGGCCATGTCTCTACCGGGGAAGTTGCTCTATATTGAAACATCAGTCTAGTTAAGATCACTTTGTAGACGTACCCAGTACTCGTTTGCCTAGACTGTATTTGCATTGGCATCTTATGCAGTTAAGCAAAAGTGTAAGAAACGATTAAACCAGTTAAGATACAAGAAGGTTCTTGCACCAGTTTAAGTGTATGGTTTTGTAGTCGCTGCATATAAACCATGACAGCTTTTCTCTTAGAAACAAGGCCTTAGTTTTGCATGTCTGCTCATCTGAATTGGAAAAATAATAATGCAGGCTGTGAATTTTTTTATTGCTTTGCAAAATGGCCTGTGTTCTTACTTATCCTTTAAAACCTTTCTTTCTCTCTACTTCACATTAGATTTTTGTTTGGGGGATTTTTTTTAGTAACAACAATAAAAAGTATGAATGCTCCTGATTTAAAAATAAATAAATATATATATATATTGCTTGAAGGACTTTCATTTTGCACTATATTTTTTCTTTTACCAGATGTGTCTGACAAGTGCATTTTGGAGATGCCCTCGGTCACGTTCTCTCAGGCCAACTCTGGTATTTCTAATATATCACAGAAGTACCCAATCTTGTAGCCCTCAGTTCTGCCTTTTTTTGACATTTTATTTTTTTTAGGCTTTTTATATATATATATATATATATTACTTTGTCAGTTTTTTTGCTGTACAAAAGTCTTAAGATTTAAAAATATTATTTGTATTATATGATGGTGGTATGTTAATGTTACAAAATTATTAATGAAGAAAAAATTTATTTTTGTTACTGGTCTGTTTCATAATTCTTTTTTAAATTGGTATATTGTAAGATATCTATGCAAAAATGTTATGTGACGCATTTTTATTTAAGAATGTAATATGTGTAATAAACAGTAGAATGTGTTTGGCCCAACAATGTTTAGTGTGCCTTGTCTATTATTTCTTTTTGAAGCTTCCGTGAACAGTGAAGTCATTTTTGAATATCAGTTAAAGCTATGGTTCAGTAAGAACACATGGCATAAAATACATGACTTCCAAGAATGATTTAGCTTATCAGAATCACATTTTTGGATTTAAATAACTTTTTTAAAGATGTATTTTATAGTGGTTTAAGTGTTGCTTATATCAGTGCTGTTGCACATGTTGCTTTTGGATAAGATGTGTAAGAAAGAAATTTGCAATCTTAAAAGCTGACCAGATTTCCAGATTTGCTTCTGCTGGATTCAGTGAATTTATTCTTTGTCTGCTTGCACTGGTTCAAGATCTTAGCCAGTATTTTTGTAAAAAATACAAAAAGCACTTGCATTGCATTTTCCATGCCTAGCTATCAAAACATTTGTCAGTCAGTGGTCAAAACAGGACTAGACTTTGAATCTCCTAAGCATTAATGAGGTGCTCTAGTCTGTGTGTAATGCTGCACTGAAGGAACTGAATGCACTGTTATTCTCTTTGCCCTGCCTCTGTCGTTTAGCCTCCCCCTTTAATGTCTACAAAATTGCAAATACAATTGAATCCACCTGGATGATGAAGTACTAAAAATGTATTTGGGGAGTAAATACAGTAATTTTGAGCACAATTACTTTGCATTGTCGTAGAATAAAATGAAATGACTGACTTTTTAAAATCGACCTGTATCCCTTTAAGTTTTTGGTGTCTTGTGATCACACATGGCAGTGACCTAAATGGCACCACATATGAACATCCTGTAAGCCTCATCTAATACAAACTTGCTACCTTTTATTTCTGCAGCAACATGCACTTTCACTATTGGAAGACCTGCTAGGACTGCTCATGGCAGACAGAAGGTAGGATTGCCCTCCTTTCCTCTGCACCTAAAACTCAGATGACCATTCTAACTTAATCATCTATACTCCCTCTGTAGCTAGTGAAGAGAGATGAATCCAGAGGTGACTCACTCCAGGCATTAGCTGAATGCAAAAGAACTGGGGTGGCATCAAGCATTTCTGGAAAGTCCCACGGTAAGTTGGAAGGTAAAAGTTCCAGCAATGCACATGGGTACTCTGTTCAGTCAGGTCATACATACATATGTTGGATGGACATAATTTATAGATATCACTGCAGCAGTGGTATCTTGATGTCACTCACAGAGCTTGAGTAATTGAGGCAGTCATCATAGAGTTTGCAGCATACTACTACAAAAATACAGGGCTGAAAAAAATGGTCTCTTTTTTGTATGTGGATTTGTACAATGTAGGTATGACTGGAAGTACACACAAAACAGAGTTCCTTCTGCACACAGGATCTGGTTTTAAAGTTATTGTTTTTTTTTGTTGTTGTTGTTTTCTTGTAAAGACAGGGTTCTATTGTTTCACTTTCTCTCTTCTTTGAAATACTCTGGAAGCTTTTAGCATCTCACCTGCCTTGAGCTTTCTGACAGACTGTTTGTCTAGCCTAAGTATAAATAGTGTATCTCTAGTATAAATTAGTCCTCTCCACCTATGAGAGGTTCTTGCAGAGAGCTCTAGAAAAGCTTTTATGAAGGTAACTTGGAGGCAGCATGGCTGGTTCTTTGGCCTGTGTTCAATTGGCTTGAATTAGAGGAAGGATAATCAATTACAGGTAACCACTCAAACTGTTTGTTTTCCAGGAACTTTCAGAAAATGCTGTGCTTTACACTTCCTCTCATGAACAGGTAGTTTATATAGTATAACAACAGCTTAGCCTGCAGGATCAGCTGTCAGACACTTCCTTGGGCTGGAGACCAGGGAATGGAAATAGTGTGAAAGAAACACCTTCCCTCTGAAATTGTTCAGGTAGCACACAGTCACACACCTTAGGCAACTCCCACTGTTGAAGTGTGGAGTTGTGTAAGGAAAGATTTTTTTCATTTTCGGGGTTAGATTGTATGTGAGCATCTTGTTGGACCTGTACGATGCAAACTCATGTGCAAACTTTGCATAATTTTCCAGACAGTTCCTGTCTTTCAGATGCACCTGAGCAGAGTGGAGTGGTAAAACCCAGGCATAGGAGTTCTTAAACCTTTCTCAGGCTGACACAAGCTGAGTGAGCTCAACACTTTATGGGCAGGAAATTTGTGTGTGAAGTGTGTGGCTATCTAGCTATTTGTCCATTGTTTTCCAATTTGAGGCTCATATTTAATATTTCTAATTTACTGAGGTAATCAGAAGCTAACCTTGCCTTCATGATCTAGTCTAAATGGTTTTAGCAAACCTAAGACTAGTACTAGTCCCGTAATTAAAGAGATGTACGGTTGAGTGATGGCATTTAAATGGTATTCTGGGGTATTTAGGAAGGAGAATAGGAAATTTCCTACCCTTCAGCAAAAAGACCTCTTATCCTTTTGGCAGATAGCTGCAAAATAGGTAAAGATTCCTAAAATTCAGTGATGAAAATTGTAGCCTTCCGAGGTGAATATTTTGGTCCCTGAAATATGCATTTACTTCCACCTGCTTTTTTGTGACCCTGGGATACTGTGTCTGGCTGCTACTAAAGTAATTTGGAAGCAGGAGGATGGGACGGTCCCCTTGATCAGAACAGTGCTTAATGCTTTGGAAAATGGTCTGAATACAGCTCATGAGTCGTGGCAGAGAGTGGAAGGTTCCAGATACAGATCTTTATTTCTACATAAAATCAGGTGATCTTGTTCCCTGACCTCCACAAGGGGTGAGAGGGGTTTGCATGTTCCTGCATGACACTAACCCTGTGTTCCCAGAGCCTGGGCACAGCGCAGTCCCTGATAAGACAGGAGACAAAAATGCTCCTCCTTGCTCCCCAGATGATGCTGGGAAGGACAGTCCATCAATTCAATGCGGCAGGGACCAAGGTGGAGGTGTTTTAGACTGCCACAATGCCAAGGCCTTGAGGAGAGACCCGAAGCCTCTCAAAATGGCGCCCGGCCCCTCAAAATGGCGCCCGGCCCCTCAGGTTTCCCGCCAAGGGCCGTTCCTCAGTGAACCATCCACTCAGGCCGCTTGTGGCACTGACTGTAAATGCGCCCCTGCTCAGAGCGCTCTGTGCAGCTGAGGAGCTGTGTGCTGAGGGTGCTTACACCCATCCCTAGGCAGCATCCATGAAGTGCAGAAGTGACGGCATGAGCTTTAAGGTTGAGAAGAAGCACGTGAGGAAATATTCTCCCTGTCAGGTAGGTCTTTTTGCGGCGCAAGAGAGCCATGCTTTTTTTTTCTCCCCACGTAGCCATGCTCTTACTCCTCCTGTCCCATCCTCACATTTCTTGTTTTGGAGTCTCTTTCAACTGCCAAGCTAGCACTGCTTTCTGCTGAGCCACAGGGATTTTCTTTTCACTGTGGTAGTCACCAAATAATTATAAAAATCCTGCCATTAGAAAGATTCTTCAGGATGGGGATTGCTGTTAACCCATTACCTGCTTTTCTCTCAGTAATTCTGATGCTGGGCGCCTGCCCTCTCAGGCCACCACTCCAATAAAAAATGAGCACTAGGCATCCCTGCATCACATTTGCACTCATAAACCCAGCAAGGCCAGTCGTCCATACTGTTTAATTGCTGATATGGCCATGCCAGAGCCTCCCCAGTGCTGCTTGGTATTTGGCTGTGCTCAAAGTCAGTCCAGCCAGAGGCACTATTTCAGAGATTGGGTGGGGATTTGGGAGATCACATAGGGAAATGATCAAGATTTCAGATGAAAAAGATGTGAGCCACAATGAGAGCTTTTACTTGTCCCTACGAATACCACCATTACCACACAGTGCATTTCCCCCTACAGGTGCTGTTGGGCTCTTGATGTGGTCACAGCTGTCTGAGGAGAGCAGAACAAGCTGCCAGGGAGCCGTGTCATTGCAATCAGGTGTTGCCCAAAATTAATTGATCTGCAGGGTGAGATGGTAGCTGTGCTTCTTCTCAAACACAGTCTCTGGCAGCTGAGTCTCCCTGGCTTGGTGCCTTGGTTGTCTCCTACAGCACAGAAGATTCAAGATGAAGGCTGTGCCAGCAGTGGTGGCAAAGGCTGCCAGACTGGGCAGGTGTCCCCCTTTTTCTGTTTGATGTTACTATGCAGCTGTGGGTAAGTGCGTGCTCTGTAAGAAAGTTGGCCTGCTGTAGTAGGCAGGTACACAAAGCATCTGTGGTCTGAGCAATTTTGAGCAACCAAAATCAGACCTCAGGTAGTTGCTGCCTGACATGTTTAAGAGGACAGTTTTCCCTTTGTTGAGAATTACATTGTGCGCATATTAAGGGGAGAACATTCCCCTCATTAGTTAGAAAATACAGGCAATGAGTCTTTGTGTCAGAAAGGTCCCTTACTTTTCAGAAAGGCTCCACCTACTCACAGGGGGTGGACTTGCACGGAAGGGACTTAAACTGATGAAAAGCAAACAACTTGGAGAAAATTACCTGTATGTTTGTGTCAATTTAATATATATAAATATACACTGAGATTTAAATATTTTATTTATTAACAGAAGGGACAAAGATGAATAGAATACTCAGGACAGAACATGGGAAAAAAAACAACCTCAAGTCTAATTTTAATATGTTGAGAAATGTTAGTGAAGCTGCATAGCAAGGAATTGTACCAGAACTTGATGGTGTCAGATTGTACCTATGCCACAGCAGATGTTTTAGGTAAATTTAACCAAATATCATAATTTTATATTGGTTCAGTTTTAGTGGTATGCACACCCTTTTCCTCTGTATGCTTCTATGTAGCAGAAGTATAGGTATGTATGTGGAATTCACTTGCTCTCTCTCTCTAGTAGCTACACAACAAGGTGTGAATGTCTATAAAGGATACTTTGCCTGAGTGATTCTGCTGTGAAAACTAATATTGGTTTTGTCTTTGTATGAGCAAAGCAGAGGTGGTCCACTTAATAGAAACACAAAAGTTAGGAATAAGCAGTGGGGAGGCCACTTTTCTTGATGTTATAGCCAAACCAAAGAAAGGTGATTTGAACTGTCACT